GCTGCAAATAATGGCAAAGATTAACATAATTATTTATGATGTGTTAAAAGAAATATGTACGTTTATCTAGGGGTGGACAGTATGAATGAAAACCTTTATATCTTGTACACATTGTATGGCGAGTATTACAGACCTGTTGCAGTATAATAACATTTTAGTAATAATCAAAAACAGTTTGTGACCAGTACAATAGATTTACACTGTAAATAATCTGGGACCTTTAGACACGATGGATAATTTGGCTTGTTTTAAAAGTTATTTACTCATTTTTAGTCCTTGATTTTACAGTTCAATCTTAAATTGAGCATTAAAAGATTTCTTATCGAGTAAAATTTACTTGCTGCATGGACAGATAATTTCACTACTTTTAAGTCATTTTCTTCTCAAATTTAGTGTTCATATCTTATATCTGGGCAACCCCTTTTTTGCAGTGTGTTACCACATGTCCACTATGCAGTCATCATATTGTGTCAATTAGTCGTCCTCAAATGTATTCCTACCCGTCTATTAAAGAAAAGGCAAAATTCACAATAGTTGCTCAAATAAGTAGAAACTGGAAAAAGTAATAATAAATAAAAATTTGCTAAAATATAATTTAGTGAAATAAGACATTGCTTTTGGATTGTGGTTGAAAAGAATATTAAAAAAAAAAAAAAAAAAGTCCCAGACAAATTAGTCAACAGGTGCAGAAGTCTGACTGAGAGTTACAGAAAACACCTGATTGATTTTTTATTTATTTTATTTTTTTAATATTTCTGTTGAACCACAATTCAAAAGCAGTGCCATGACTTTCATTAGATTTTTATTTATTATCACTTTTGCCAATTTCAGCTTATGTCAGTGTTTTTTTCCTTCTTTAACGGGAGGGTATGAACACATTAGAGGACGACATCAATGATAAAAGGGTTAATCAGTCTAAACTATAAAGCCAAAACGAGTTCATTCACTTTCCTCAGACCAGACATTAGACTCCCCCCAACCCCCCGAAACCAAGAACACAAACTCCCGTAGTTGAGCTAGATTTTTTTTATTTGACTTTTTATTCGCTTGATCATGTTCTCCAACCCAAAGACAAGAATACACAGCATAAATTGAAAATATCCCATTTAATAGTTTACAACTTCTCATCTTTAATCATCAACTTCATAATTTTCAGTCCGACATTCACACTCACCTTGAAGCCTCGGAACTGGGATACAGTTCAACGTGTCAAACTTGACCGGGAGAAAAAAGAAAAAGAAAAGAAAACAGAAAAAAAAAAAAAAAAGTGAACCTCATGCCTTCGCCCTCCCTCCCCAACAAATCAGATAAGAGCATTTTTCAGTCAGGGCAGGAGGGAGGCAGGTAGGGAGGGGGTGGGAGGGTTACAGATTTTTCAAAATACAGTGGATGCATTACTTTTGATTGAGCAGGGAGAGTGAACATGGCGGTAATTCAGATGCTCTTCCAAGCCCTTTGTACACTGAACACATCCCAACAAGAAAAACAAACAAACAAACAAAAAAAAATCCAATTAATCCAAATGACAGACACCCTCTTAGAAACATCTTCTAATTGCACATGTTAGTACTGCTGACCCATGAAGGTTGGTGTGACGGATTTCAGAACTTTTCTTGCATTTCAAAAAAAAAGAAAAAAGAGTCTCAGGTCAAGAGTAGAAATGGTATTATTTACACTGGTGTTCACATGCAGCTCAGAAGCTGGAAGTTGAAATTGCAGCCAAAAAAAACCTCCTCCCATGTCCTATGTAGATAAAAGACATGTCGCACGCCCGCTCAGATTATCTTCTCTCTCTCTCTGAGATATATACACACTCACACACACTCTCACACACACTCACACACACCGCTGAAGGTTTCTTCCTCTTAAGTTACAGTGTCCAAAGCACTTAAGTCGGTTTGTACATTTCAAACAGCATGAATTTACTGTATCGTTGAAAGAAATGATTTTTTTCTTTTCTCTGATGTGATTAACAAGGGTACATACTGGCTGAATAAGACAATACAAACAACACAAACAAACAAACAAAAAAAACATTCAGGAATATGAAACTTCCTTTCCCATCCCGTCGGCCTTCCGTTTTGCACAGCTCCCCCTTGTGGCTATTAGCTCGTAGCACAGGTTTATGTTACAGCACTGGTGGAAGTGGAGTTTTTTAAAAAAAAGATTAAGTCATAAGCGCAGAGTAAGAAGCCACCCGTTGCCTTCCTCCATCATGTCCTGCTGTGATTTTACAACCATGTGACGTTAAAAAATAAAAATAAAAAAGGTGCGGGCTCAGATTAATTTCACATGACGCGTTCGAGGTCATGCCATGCAGACACGAGTAACATCAGGGTGCCGAAAGAAAGAAAGGAAACCTGAAGAATGAGCTGCATTGTTCCGACCCACGTCTCAGATTTCCGTCAGCTCATTTCCTGATAAAACTCTACACCAGTTTAAACCTACTGGCCGTAATGGGGGGCGGGGAGGGGAGATAAATCAATCACAGTGAAGTTAAAAACCTCCTATCAGCTGGGATATGATGCTATTAGGAAACATGGCAGACAAAAAAAAAAAACAACAAGCAGGCAAACCGAGAGAATGAATGAACACACACACCGACACACACACACCAGAACCGAGGGGCTTCATCTCACAAAGCAATTTGTAGGTTGAATAGAGTTTAATAGATGTGAATTGTCAAGAGTGCGCGTAAAAAGGCCAGAAGGAAGAGTTTGCATCTTGGCAAAGTGATCTGCTCCTCTTCAAAAGGAGGGCGACGGGGAAACGTGAGGCGTTCGAGGGGCGTGGGGGGGGGGGCAGGGAAGCAGATGGAGAGCAAGGTGCAACTTCTGCCGCTGTGCAGCACTGTGCTTGGGTTTCTCAGTAGTACAGTACATCATTCAGACAACATCTGTTCTTATTCCAACGGAGCCCCACCGAGCATCCTCACCAGCTACCTCAGAAGATGACACATCCCATCGTGGAACCCAGCAATCAAATGCAGCTCAATTGCATCCTTTTAAGATTTCTTATTTTTGTACATATATGCATACAATTATACTTTCTAGCTAATCTTTTAAGTCTTCATGTGGGTTTTTTATTTAATCTGATCAGCGTTCGTTTTGTTTTACAACTATATACAATGTACAGGCAGCAGATCATATATCTTTTACAACGAGTGAGTGATGATACAGGAGAGTCTCCATGGACCGATGATGGCTAGATCTATTTAGACAATATACATGGTGAATAATTGGAATTGGTTTTTTTTTTAGAAAATGGTATCTAAAAAAAGGATGAAAGATAGTACAAGAGACAAAATTGTAAAAGCCCTCAATATGTACAGAAAAAAAGCCAATATAGCATTTGTCAACAACAGAAAAAGAAAAAAAAAAGAAAGTTAAACTGAAATAATTTTCTCCATATACACATATCATAGCTCAAAAATATTTCCAAAGCTAATAATCTCTCTGATTTGGTCACAGAAGTTAGAAGATAAGTGAAGCATAGTGAACAGAATGACACAGCCTGATTGAACATCTGAGGATCTCCAACACAGCATCGCAGAGCCGCTAAGGTTCGTTAAGTAATGAGATGATGTACAGACTACGCTTAGTTAGTTCCTCTCATGCAGAACAGATGCTCCCCCCCACCCTCATTTTGATTGCAAGTCATGACTTAAAAAACAAAAAAGCCGTCGATCTACTGCCACCGAAAGTTAACAGAAAGACATCGTGAGGTATTAAGGTTACTGTGCCCGACAGCGTGGTCAGAAGTCTGATTTGGAGAAAGAAGAAGCAAAGAAATCATACTTAGATCATCAAACAGTCACCGCAGAACAGCCTCTCCTCGCTCTTACTTCAATGTTTGTTTTGGGGGGTGTCTTAGTGATTATTTAGACTTTTGAAAAACATTTGAAACCTCGATGTCAGCTTATGAAAAACATCTATTAGCTGCCATTAGATTTAAAATTTATCATCCAACAGGTGTTTTTTTTAATGTCAAGAAACAATCATGTAGCTCGAATTGTTTTGTCAAAATTATGAGGAAAGAAAAAAAGACGGTGGACATCCAAGTGGGCCAGTGTTAGTCAGTGTCTGATCATTAACTTCATATTAGACACGGAGGTGGAAAAAGTAAATGAAGCGATAAACCAAATCCCCTCAGATTGAAAACATCACACAAGCAGACTTACAAACGAAGCTCATACAGAACTCGATAGTTCAGGGGCTTTTATCTAGCTAAGTCAGAAAGGCACATCACTTTGATATCAGGCATAAATTAAGTCAAATTACTGAAGAAAACAAAACAAAAACAAAAAACATACTTTCACAAAAAATAGTGCCGATAAGATGAGAGTCATGAAAAAGAAGAAAGGGGAAGAAAAAAAAACAAAAAAACAAAAAGCATTCAGTGCATGTAACTACATTCATAACAAGCTTAATTTACATGTATGTGCAACCAGTTTTAAACAAATCTGAAATGTAACTAAACTGCCAGCTTAGACTGAGGATACAGACGCAGGAGTAAAGTTTAAAAACGCAGATCTCAAACTCAAACTTGTTTTCAGGTAAATCTCAGGCCTGGGTTCTATCGAAACTAACGAACGAAACAAACCTCAAACTACGCAAAAAAGCGATTCGCCGCTGAGTTTATTATACAGATCTAAGTGCTGTCGCGTTACTACACATGAGATGAGAGCTGGGAGGATCTGAGCGCGTTCTCCGAAGCTGCCCGCGGGTGACGCAAGCGGGCAGAACACGTCGACGGAACAAATGTAGACGACGTCCTATAGAAACATAGGATAACGAAGCCTACCGCCGGAACCAGAGAACCCCCCGTCGAGCTTACATCCAGGTGCGATCGTGATCCTAATGATGCTCAAACATGCTTCAAGCAAATTAATGTAATTCAAAAATGAATACAACTCTGACAAGTCATATCACTCGTGATGCGGAGGAGGGATCAGAAATGGGGGGTTTTTATCCGACGGGTTTGCGACTGCGCTGCCTTTCGAAGCCTTTTTTTATCTGCTGCCGTCGTAGGACTGTGAAGTTTCATATAAAACATCTGAAAGCCAATCATAAATATCAAGGGAGCAAAGTGTTCTCGACTGCATTTTGAAAATCAAACGATGGTTGCTGCAGTGCTTTCGGTGGGCAACACTTTGTCTCTACAGTGACTCGAGAGGTAAAGCGTACCACAGTGAATGGTGTGCGTATGTGCTTTCGTGGGTGCTGGGCAGAGGGTGTGTGTGTCGGTATGTGTGTGTGTGTGTGTGTGTGAGAAAACAGTAAGTAAAGAGATAGAGGAAACCAATTTAGAAAGAAAAGAGAAAAGTTCGTCGATTGATATGTTCACCCAATTATTCTCGTGATGTCAATAGTCAGTAGGGTCTTCGTAGCATCTGTATGTTTCTCCTGTGTTCAATGCTCTGCTGCTTCCCATGCAACTTCCAGGGCAGCGGTCTGCAGTGACGTCACAGGGGAGGGATCCGTTGGAAGAAAGGTGGGAGGTGAAAGGAAAATCGTTTTTCTTTTTTTTTTTTTTTCATATAGTTCCCTTGGTGGGGGGGGCTTTTAAGAGCAACAGGAGCGGCTCATCACTGCCAGGACTGAGGGGGGAAGTTATTCACCTCGGACAGGTCTTGCACAGCCGAGCCTTTGTGGGTGTACGTCAGCTTGATCCTCATCCGTAGCTGTTGCTGAAATGTCACCAGGATGACGGCGTTTATAAATAACATACAATACAGGTTTTAGGTGTGCGTCAATAAACGGGTTAAATGCAATTTGTGTGAAGCGCCGACTCACCTTCTGTGGGTTGAGGACTCTGATGACCTGCGTGACAGTTCCCTGGTTGAGTGCTGGGACGACGTTACTGCTAGGGGAGAGGAGCTGCAGCTGGAATGTCTGACAAACAGATAGGGGACGCCATGTTAGATGAAAATTTAATGGCACCCGCGGAGAAACGGGGTCATTGCAGCGGTTTAAAATAGAGATGCTCTCATTGATCAGGCGCTGACCAGATAGTCAGCTCAGAAGACTTCACCGCGGTTTTCAAGTTTATTTATTCGATAAGTTGAGGGTAAAATAGGCGACGCTGGCAAATAAACATCAACGTTTTCATCGCCTTTCATCTCCATGACACATACTTAGGGCTTATCTTTGTGTCTGGGCCAAAACAGACAGAACAGAAACTGCCATCGGTAGTTTGTTTGACTCGTTAAAAGTGAGAGATATTCACAGGTAGTTCCCTAAAACATATCTAAGGAGCATTATCTGAATGTAGACTNTTTGCAGCTGCATCTTAAATAACCTAAAGTACATTCAAATTATCGTTGACAGCTTTTACATACATTTACTTGGACAGAACTACACTCACTACTTAAATAGCTCATGTCTGGAGCAGCCTGTACTGTTTTTGTGTGATCAGATAGAGGTTTAGTTTGAATCCCACACCTGTTGGAAAAAAACCAGTCAAGGTGTGTCTCAATGAAAAAAGGTGGAAGAGGAGGAGGAACTGCTGCTGTGGATGCCCCGGTCGACTACAGATGTACCGGGCGCCTCCCAGGTGTGGATGTGTGTCACTGTGTGAAGGAATACGCTGTCCTGACTCACACACACACACACAAACACACACACACACATATATCTGTATGTATAATAGGCAGGAACAGAAGTGCCTCTTACCTCTCCACAGAAACATTGAGGAGCTTTCCACACAAACAGGGTGACCTATTTTATATTGATGTGCACCCTCCTTCACATGCACACACACACACACACAGCTGGGATGTGTGTGTGTGAGGCAGCTGCATGTGTGTGTTGCCCTGAAATGTCACACAAAACTGTGGGCCTTCAAATAAAGCCTCTAACATACTACATACTATATATGTGTGTGTAGATATGAGTGTGTGTGCTGCTATTAATTGGCTCTGCTCCATCCCTCCCTGGACCCACTGATCAATCATCAATTAGCGATCACCAATCACCTGATATCATCACAGCTGTTACATAATGGAGCAGGGATGCGCTGTAATCCCTGCACTCTGCCCCCGTTCCTATCACCTACTGAGAAAAGCCAGCATGTAACGGAGACGTTTGTCGGGCACTCTGTCCCGTTTGAACCGGCCACCGCATCCCGATCCCGCCGCCGCTATGACCTGCCTTTAGCACTCGGATCCCCGTCGCAGCTCCGGGACCACTGCGGCTGCCGCGACCTGCAGTCGGATTGAGCCCCGCCTGGTGGACCACCGTGTCCGGCTGCCTGTCTATGCAAGCCCCGTTATCTCCGACATCACCTCCTCCTCCTCCTTTCTTGATGCCCGCCTGGATGTTGGCCGCAACGACCGCCGCGCTGTTGTCCTCGTCCTCCATCGCCATGAACGATCCTCGGTATTAAGACGAACGGAGAGCCGTCCCGGTGCGCCGCGCGCGGATTCCCACGGAGGAGGAGGAGAAGGAGGAGGAGGAGGAGGCGGAGGAGGAGGAGAGGAGGTGAAAATTCATCCCGTGTCGGTGCAGCGACGCCATATCCCGACTGATCTGACCGCTGTCAGCTGGGCCTGCCCGCCTGGCTGCTGGCTGCCGGAGAGCTGATCAATAAACATGACTGGGCGGGTTCACGGTGCTGATTATTCAGTGGCCTGCTCCGGGGGGAGAGGCTTCCACCGGACACAAATCACGATGGCTCGGGCGTGTCTGTGGGAGACACTCGTGGGTTTGTAGGTGGAATTTGCAGCCCCTGATCTTTAATGTGAAATGTGATGTCATTTTATAATAAACAGCGTCTTTAGACATGAATTTAATCCAACCCACGCCTGCGTGGTGTTAAAGTTTTAATGATGTCATGATGTGGGGGAACTTCCACAGCTCCACTGGATCCACCCGTGACAGGTTTATATCCT